CCTATGGATGAAGAAGTATCTTACTGACCTTACCAGTTATGATGACTGTTTTGGCTTTTCCTTTGGGAGAGAGACAAAACAGGGACACTCTAGGGCGTTTTTAGTGTATGTATTGAGCCGTCAGGTTCAAGAATAAATATAGAGGGTGGTATGAGCCTCACAAAGTTCCAAGAGCTGCACAGGTTTCCTTTGTGGCATCTGTTCTGTAATGGGCTAAGTATTTGGTGTGATCAAAACATAGCCTCTTGTGTCAGCAGATGAGTTGGATAATTTAATTACATATTTGTTATATACTGAACTGAGGATTATTGAATAAATGATCCTGCTGAAGCATGCTTGTCAGTGGTAATTAATGCCTTAAAGATGTTTTGATTCCAGGATGACTGTAATGGATGACAGTGATGATGTTCTGCCTGATGCCCAGTCTGCAAAAGTTTTCTATGGGAAGTATGAACCAAAAGAAGTGCTTGGCAGGTAAGAGATACTGGGTCTTAAACCTGACCTTGCAACATGAATTTCATACACCACTAACAGATATTGTCATGTTTGATATGATTCTTGATTTGTTAATGCCAATATAAATCTGTTCGCTGGAAATGAAATAAGGTTCCAATAAAGTGATCACAAAGTGTGTGGTATATTACATGTGCTCCAGTGTAGGTATATATTGGTACCTCATGTTAAGAAGAGTATTGTATATCATTTGTTGTATTTAAGGCAGAATATATAGTAAATAGTCATAAAACAGGTGGATTCATGCTCTTACCTTCAAATTGTAATAAATTACAATAGTAAGTTCCCAAGCACCACACACACTCAACAACTTTGGTCCCCCAGCGCCATTGTTACATTGTCGGTGTGTGGTCACCACATCACTGCTTACCAAGAACCATAAAAATGTACTGGGCCAAGGTAACAATGATAATGCAATGTGCTATGTTTCTTATTGCATGTAGGTGAGTTTAAGAAACATACAGGCCAGAATAGACCAGAACCTAACCTAATCTAACATCAGAACCTAACCTTTGTCCGTCCCAGTGGCTCAGTTGGTTAGAGGGTTCGAGTCGCTTTAGGGCGCTCGCTATTTGCCCTTGACAGGTATGGCCTGCGGCCGGTGGTAGCGGTCATGCTAAAGGTCAGTTGACATCAGAGGGCAGGACGGACCGTGCCGAGCATTGCAGCACGTTAAGAAGCTTTCGGTACCAAATTTTGTCGTTGACATGGAATTGCGCGATCGGATGGTGGGGGTCAGGGCTCACACAACAAGCACTGCTTAGCATGAGCTCTGATCCCGGAAATCCATCCATTCAAAGCGTTCAGATCAAATCTTCTAATCTTTTTAAAAAATCTAACCTAGCCTAACCTAACCTGACCTAACCTAACCTAACTGCCCAACCTAACTGCCCTAACCTAGCCTAAACTAACCTATCCTAACCTAACCTAGCCTAACCTAACCTAACCTAACCTAACCCCCTGCCCTGCCCCCTTCAACCCAGTGTCCCATTGGCATCCATGTTCCATGCCATATATATGTACTCTGGTAAGGAATTTTGTTTAGCTGCCATGTTCTCATTTTGCTTTTCATTCCCCACCCAAAGACATCATATTTGTCGACCTGCATGTATGTTGACCAATCTCCAAACAGTGTGGAAGGCTGCTTGGATAAGCAAGAAAGACATAAGTTTTAAGGTAAGAGTTTAGATGACCTGATTTTTGGTTATTTACAATATGTTCTGCCTTAAAAATGACAATTGATGTACAATGCTCTTTTAATCTCTACAATGCTTCTTTTAACATAAGGTGCCAATGTATGCCATGACCTGTACTCCTGTTTTCATGTCCAGTAGATCATGAGTAAGTTTGAGGGTACATGCTTGTGAGCATGTGTAAGAATTTCAATGGGAGAAAAGTCATTGCATTTTCTGACAAGTGCAGCAAAAGATGTAATGAAAACTAGAATTGGCCATGTGGTAGGGCTTGAATGACTGCTTTGTGATCATGATAATGCATTTGTCACATTTATCCTGTGAGCTCTTGCAATGCTGATTGTGTTCTTGATGATGCATTGATTGACTACATTTTGTGTATGAATCGATGTGTGTAGTCTGATGATATGTGATGTATAGGCTGATCTTTTAGTGCAATGTGTGGACGAAAAGTTGTGGAGCCTGTGTAAGTGAGAGGAGGTTAAAAGTTACAAAGTTGTATACACTCTCAAGACTGGCACTTTTACTGCACCAGTGTTGATTCAATCGTGTTCAACATCAATATTTCAGAACAAAATACTGTTAAAAAGTTTCTTCCCACAGCCCTTTACATTTCTGTTTTTGTTGTTAGCCTTAAATTTGGCATGCCAGCTGTGCCTGTATCAGGCAAGGCTTTATGGTGGCCTGTGTTGAGTGAGAGCTGGACAGATGTACCTGGTGGCTGCACCACATGCTGACCTGTGCATTCGGGACTCCAGGGGTGTGAGCTCGACTGTGCGACGCTGCGTGGACAAGGAGTCAGGAGTCGAGTATGCCGTGAAGATCATTGATATCAGCGAAGCCGACCATGGCTCTGACATTAAAGAGTCAACACACCGGGAGATTGAAGTTCTGCGCATGGTACAGGGCCACCCCTATGTCAGTGAGTATTGTAACCGATCCGGTCCTGTGGCTGCCGCGGAGCCTGGGACACACCATATTCTGCACTGTCCGTTTGGTCTTGTTTGATGTGTGGTGATTCCGGCTGTTTGACTCGCTCACTTAATCCTGTCACAATGCTAGACCTATGGAGTGGTCCTGTTCGACCACCTCTAGATTGGGGTTTGCTGCCTATTGCTCCTCCCTTCGCTAAAGATCGGTCAATCAAGGTCGAACCGGACGGCTGTCGACCCAGCATTTATACACCTTGGGCTTGGCGAATGGGGCCTTGAAGGATTGGATAAAGGCAAGGGATAAGCACCCACTGAGACGTGTGCGTGGACGCCGCCGTGAAGCTGGACGTACGGCGGCGTTGATTTATATTTTCATCCTGCACACCCTACTTCATGCACTTTGGAATGCTGTATCACTCTTGACATGTGCACACTGTGTTTCAGTTGAACTGCACGACGTATTTGAATCGGAAACGCATATATTCCTGGTATTTGAGCTGCTTAGGCAAGGAGAGCTATTCGACTACCTCACGACTGTCGTCACATTGTCCGAGAAAAAGACAAAGTGAGTTATCAGACTAGAAATTACTTTTCTCTCCATTTCAAAAGGCACAATGGGTACCTCTATTCAGATTTTTTTGGAATCCATGTATTTTAATAAATGCAACACATGTAATGTTGGTGTTCTTCCCGCCATGGATCGTCCCGCTCACAGCTCACAAGGCATGCGTTCAGATCTGCTTTGCAACATTTAGCTTCCCCATACGATGGCAGTCTCATCGGCGGTTTACGGCTTCTTTAGCCACAGGCCTTGAATAGTTCACAAACTCATTAGTCACTTGGTGTTGAGGAATTAAATGCGGCTTGAGTTTCCGGCCGTTCCCGCTATAAAGCGTCAGCTTTTGCCACTGCGCGAGGACCGCAACTGACCTGGGGCGGCCGACGGCAGACACATCATGAAACAGCTGCTGGAGGCGCTGCTGCACGTGCACGACAAGTCGGTGGTGCACCGCGACGTCAAGCCCGAGAACATCCTGCTTGACGACAACCTCGACATCAAGCTGACCGACTTCGGCTTCGCGCGCATCCTCCGGCCCGGCGAGGAGCTATACGGTGAGGCGTCGGCGGCGCGGATGGGGCGCGGTCGCGCTGTGCCGCCCTGCCACCCGAGCGCCGCCGCGCTAGCCTGGTGCCTCGCTCCAGGCGCGCACGGCCACTGCAGTCCGAGTGTTCAGTCGCTGGTCACAGCCGGAGGCCGCCGCAGAACCTGCTCTCGCTGTGTTGTGAATCATTCGGGAAGATGCCATCCGTCGTCAGTCGAATGTGTGTAAAGTGCAGGCACAGCGACGGGCTCCCCTTGGAAGCGGACGTATCGGGCTGCGCGCGACATGTTGTGCGGGAAAGGTCGAGTTTTAGTGCTGAAGCAGCACAAGTACTTCCTACACCTGATCTATGGTTGTGGTCCAAACGGCATTCACGAGTGAGCCGTTGTGTCTGCTTATGGGGACACGTGGTTAGAGGCAGTCAGTGAACTAGGTTTAGTAAGAAGCCGGTGCACCCGCCGACTTGCCTCCGGTGCGTTCATTTCAACGAGTTCCCACATGTCTTTGGAAGGCTTCCGAGGGTATTTACACTGGGGATGCGGTAGAGCTGGGCCTCAAAGCTGGCAATGAGTTTATGTCACTTACTGGTTGTGCCGTGTTGAAAGAAGTGTCGAACGGGAATGGCTATCAAAAGAGAACAACGCAGGATTTCATGACCTAAGTTGGACGTCATTACACTACTTATTCTGACCAAAAACGGGCTGAAGCGTCTCAATGCTCCTTTTAAGAGGGGACGTCTGCGTTGCGTCATACTGCGCCCGCAGTCGCGTCCAAACAATGGTCGATCCGCAGCGCCGGCTGGTGGTGAGGCCATTGGTTTGGTAGTGCTGCCATTTCCGATCATGTGACCGGTACCAATAGCGAGGAGGTTGGGCTTGGAATAAACCGATATGTGATAAGATTATCACCGAAACTGATCATAAAACAAAAAATAGAATTATAATTATGTTCAAGTTAAGCAACTGAAGCGTGTTTTAGCCGCAAAGGAAGCATCTCACATTTTTGTGTTGATTGTTGCATCTGACGTGTGCGATCTGATCAGTAGTACCAGTTTTCTCGGAGTCCTTCTGAATAGCTCAAAATTTCGATTGGAAGTAGCCGACCCTGCGGAGAAATCTAAGTTGACTCTTTGCTCACCACTATGAAAGAGACACATTTCATTTGCCCGCTTTTCAACTCGTGTGTTCTGTAATGTTTGCAACACCCAAATGTGTCAAAATGCTCGTGTAACAAACGTTCCGAAAGTTTGAAACACTGTTTAGACAGAAGGATATGCGAACATGAAGCTATTATTCCGCGAATTCGCGAATTCAGAGTCATACTATGACTGATTTCTCCGCTCTGGCGTTTATCGCAGACTTTTTTTCGAGGCGCACTTTGATTTTGGAAATAGGAATGTCATGATCCATGTGACGTACTGGTCCAAAGTTCACCCAATACATTTATCGGTAACAGGC